CTTCGTGGCATCCCAACAATTACTCCATTCACACACAGAAGAAGGCAATGGCAAACCCCTTCTGGATCATCTGCCAAGAACGTATATGAACAGGTCCCAGTCCGAGAAAAGGATGGAAGGATCCTGTTCATATGGACCTGTCGTCAGACAGAACACTAAATAAATAATATAAATAAAATAAGTGTCACATCTTAATAGAAGCTGAAATTGCATGACTTTCATTATTTATTTTTCTACAGCTCTGCTTCAAAAGTACTATATCACTTCCTGCAACAGTATTATCAATTGTAAGAAATTGGCGTAATTGTCCATTCATTATGAGAAATGTAGAAGATGAGCTCAAGTCTTATTTTGTTCAAAAGAATATTCTGTGAACTGGTTACATGTCTCTCAATGAAAACAATCTACAAGCAAGGCTCATTTTATTTTTCACAAATTAAAACATTTTAAAAGTGACCGCTGAATAATAATTAAAACTCGTGATGAAGATCAAGTTAATCTGTAGAAGTTATTCAAAAAACTTATCGCATTGCATTGATATGCAATGCGATGTGATAGGCTTTGTAAGAGCATCTGGTGCATGCATGTATGTCTAAATTAGAATAGGTACGCTAACCATACAGTTTAAAACCAAATTGTACTTTCTTACATGAATATGTTATTTTAGATTTTTCAATCAGTACACACAAATTCATACTTCATTTAACCAGTGCTAGTTTTATCTTAATTTTCAAAAATAAAATTAGTATTCTAAATAAAAGCATAAAAATTATATTCAATAATGAACATTTTTGAAAGTGTGATTTATTCAAATATATTTGAAAAACTAATTTAATTTATTTTAAATGGAGATGATAAAATTACACCACTGGTTAAGTTTAATATTGCATGTTTAAAGACAATTTTGCATAAATTTATTGAAACGTTTAAAATATGTTAAACATCTTCACATACTTTATTAAAAAAGTTACTTCAGTTACATTCACTCAATCTTCTTTGAGTGATGTGAAAAAGCTGGGCTGCTGGGATCAGTCAGTATCTTATCTGAGTTCATTATCCTGAGTGGTTTGTAATGTCTTATGGGGTTGGCCTTATGGATGGCTTCCTTCCGCAGTTTTGCAATCTCTTCCATTTCATCCCTTTTGAGCATTTCGTCCCTCTGTACACGAGCAAAACAAAACACACACTAAAACAATAATTCCAGCTCCAAATTTCAACACTGATAATAATCATTATGAAGTATAGGTGTGTTATAATATTTAAGGTTTTCGCTATAGATGGCAGTTTTCTGATTTGTTGCGCCATGTAGCCACCTTTGACGTTCAAGTGAGAAGGGGTAGAAGTGGAAGGTGTATATAAGGATACAACCAGATCAGGCCAGTTAGAGCCAAGGGGCAGATGAAGCTGTGTCTAGACCAGTGCAAAAGAGCCCTTTCGAGGCCACCGCCAGACAAGAAGGCTGGGCAAGGAGAGGAGAAAAACTGGTCCTTACATTCGAGTACAAGACCACAGAACTAAAAAAAATGTAGTTTGCACAAGGCTCAACATTCCTCTCCATTCTCTGCAAACTTTAGTGACTTGCTACAGTTAGGGTCCTGAAATGATGTTAGGTACCGAGTGGCAATGCATTCAGAGCACAAAAACTGGCTGTCCGCAGACTACGGGTAACGCCGATCTCCCAGCACTGACCAACAGCGATGCTACACTGATCCTCAGCACTGGTTAACTACACATGGAGAACTACTGCTTTGGGGGAAGATCCATCATGCATAAAATTGGCTACGGACTGTAAACTGGCCATGGAACAGAGAATTACCTGGCCTCTAAACATTGCTCATTTATAGTACCAGTGTGTGGCCATGCTTACATCGGAACAAACTGGTTGTACTGCTTTAATAAGGATCAAGGGGCACCATCGCCATATCCAGCTTTACAACATGGAGAAGTCAGCCATGACAGAACAAAGCTTCAACATGGGTCACCATATCCCGCAAAACAGGAAGCATCATGACCAATAAATACAGACACATGGACAGGATCAGGCAAAAGTGATTGAGCTCTATCCAAACATCAACAGAGTGGAAGCCCCTTATTTGCACCATAAAAGAATTGACTAGGAATGTCGGACTACGTGCCACGACTACTTAGAAGATAACCATCTATAAGAGCACGTTTCTAAAAGTGTAAATACCAACAAATGTAACAAACTCAGAAAGTATATTCTGTACTTTAAAACCTATCAAATTTTCATGCGTTCTTTGCAACATGTATTCAGAGGTATTAAATCTGGCTTGTTCGATAGTTATCACTCTTGCCACCAGATCACAGCACCTCAGTGTGTACTTCATGAATTTCCTCATGTCACTTCGTTACCACCGCTCGTGGGATACTCAGAAGTACAATTTTGAGCTTGTGCAGAACAGCACAACCTCCACATCAAATTTCATCCCTATCAATCCAGCAATTCTCTAGTACAATTGACCGGACAGACAGACGGACAGATATGGTCGGCCTATGCTTTTCATGAAAAGAACACATTGCACAACACTGGATTGACTAAAATATCCAAAAGACATAGAAAGAGCACGTAACACAGGATTAAAGGAATTTTTTTTCCAAAATAGTGATTAGAGTACAGTAGTTTGGCCACTTTATATGTCTAAAGAACTCACTAGTAAGGGCAACTGTAGACATGGAACAATAAAAAAATATCTACTGGAACACCAAGAATAAGGTAGAGATGTCAGGTGATGGAGGACACGGAAAACAAAAATGGTTGTCAAGTGAGAACCAGTGGACGACGACGATGATGGTACGATATAATTACGAGGCACGTCCCAAAAGTAAGTTTCCCACTCGTCCCACAGCTAGCAAACCTTATATTGAGCGAAGCGACTGTGCGTACGTGATAGAGCAATGACGTAGCATGGCGCATGCACTAACGGCAC